GTTGCGGAGGGTGAGGAAGCTAGGGCTGCTGGAGCTGGTGGTGTCGGCTTTGGGGTGCAGGGGGTGTGGGCGTGGAGTTTACTCCCGTGGAGGACACGGCAGCTTCGAGTCGGCGGCCTCGCCCCGCGTCACCCCCTGGCTTCCCGTTCGTCCCACAGTTCTGTCAGAATCCCAACCACTAGACCATTGGGATAAAAGGGCTTGTTTTAAGTAGCGGGTCAGTGCGCCCATAACCCCCCAGGCAACCGTGCCTGTAACCCTTCCCTAGGATCAATCGGGGATCACCAGTGGACCTCTGACACCCCCCCTCGCTGGGATGCCCGAAGTGCATACACCAGGACTCGAACCCGAGACCTTCGCTCTGATAGCATGTCAGAATCCCAACCACTAGACCATTGGGATAAAAGGGCTTGTTTGAGTAGCGGGTCAGTGCGCCCATAACCCCCCAGGCAACCGTGCCTCTAACCCTTCCCTAGGATCAATCAGGAATCACCAGTGGACCTCTGACAAGTTCCCTACTCATCCTTCTCTGCAACCCGTTGCTACGGTGCCTGGGGTTGTTCCTGCGGGAGGTACGGGAGATACGGGGGTGTTGGTGGTGGAGGTGCTTGTTTTGGGGGTGCTGGAGCTGGAGGCATTGGCACTGTGGTGCCTACATTGCAAACCGTATGTTTCCTGACCTGTTGAGGCAGCGTCTCCTCCGGTTAGAGAGGGAGAAGCAGGAGCGGTTTGAGAGGGCACAGCAGCAGCAGCAGCAGCAGGAGGAGCAGTCTCTGTCGGAGCAGCAAGAGAGCGTAAAGGAGGAGACACCGCCGCAGCAGAAGAGGGTTGCGTATGAGTCCCGCATGCAGCAGCAGGTGCAGTTGCAGACACAGCAGGAGAGATTATAGGAGGTGTCACGGCCGCAGCAGGAGAGGGTAGCGCAAGATTCCCGGTCGCAGTAGGAGACACAGCTGCAGCCACAGCAAGACAGGGCTGAGGAGGAGCCACACGAGCAGCAGCAGGGGCAGGTGCATTTGCAGCAGACGCCAGAGGAAGCAGAGCAGCCGCGACTGCGTGACTTGCCCAACCCTGCACCTGCACGCTTGGTTTGTGGTCCCCTACTGTCTCCTCGTGTTCCCCCTGTCGAGTCCGTTTTCACGTTCCCACGGACTCGACATTCTCCTCTCAGTCGTGCTATGTCTCCCAAGCCCCGTCGGTCTTGCTATCGTGCGAACGGCCCGTTTTACCTTGTTCTCCGCTCTCGTGTTCCACCTCCTCGGGTCTTACCACAGCCTCCTGAGTCATCCCTCACTGTGTTTCCCGATCCGTTGCCCGACAACCTCCGTGCCTCCCGTCCTGTCGTCTCCCGTGTTTTGTTCACGTTGGTCACTCATCCGACCGTACTTTTGTCGTTTGTCTTAGCTCTTGTTACCACTGTCGCTGACTTTGCCTCTTCCCACCACCTTGACTGCGCCTGTCACTTGGTGAGCGGCACTGCTCGTTCTCAATCCACTTGGGGTGTTAATGTTTTGCCCCTGGAGGTTCTAGAGGACAAGCAGTTCGAGCTTGGTTTCCTTACGGCCGCTGTTCCCCATCCCTGCGCCATGCTGCTTGCCTCTGAGGGGGATCGAGACGCCCTTGATATCCTGATTCTTCGCACTCACGCCGACGCGATCTCGGGACCAAGGGCTTCGTACTGGATAGCAGCCGAGGAGGCAGAGGTGGCATCTTATAAGGCGAATGTCGTCAGTGGCATGTGGCTCTACAAGTTGAAACGCCCGCCTCGATCACCACCGGTGTTCAAGGGGCGCTATGTGGTGAGAGGCTTCAGTCAGCGCGAGGGGGTAGACTTCTTCCAGACCTTTGCTCCCATCACTCTTCAAGTGTTGCTGCATATAGCCCCCCAACGCGACTACGAGTTGCACTCCTTGGACTTCTCGACAGAGTTTTTACAGGAAAGCCTGTACAAGCACATCTGGCTGCATCGTTTGCCTGGCTTCACTTGCTCTTTCCATCCTGGGACGTAGTGGCAGCTGCGTCCACCGATCTACGGCCTGCGCCAGGCTCCCCGCGAGTTGCACGACACGCTACGTACAACTCTTGCAGCGCTTGACTTCTTTTCGTCGTCTTCCGACCCGTCGCTGTTCGTCTGCCGTGGCTCGACCCCGGTCTTTTTGTTCTGGTCTACGTTGACGACCTGGTCTTCGCCACTCCCGACCGATGCGCACTGGCCTCCGTGAAGGAGGAGCTTCAGAGGAGACACAATTGCACTGACCTTGGTGAGCTGCAGCGCTACCTTGGCCTGCAGATCACCAGGGACAGGGCAGCTCGCACCATTACGCTGACGCAGTCGCATATGGTCAAGCAGATCCTCACGCGGTTCCGCTTCCCGTTCTCCAAGGTACAGCCGACCCCTCTTGCTGTAGATCATGGGCTCGCAACTCCACCAACAAGCCATTTGAGTCCAGTGGTCTATTTCCTGAGCTAGTGGGTTATTTCATGTACCTGATGACATGTACTCGCCCGAACTTAGCTTACCCTCTTAGCGTCCTTGCGCGCTTTGTTGCGCCTCGGAGATACCGACCTTCCCACTAGTACGATGCTAAAAGGGTGGCAAAGTATGTGGCGAGTACATCAGACATGGGACTCGTCATTGGGGGGAAACAGCCAGTTACATTTACAGGTTTCTCCGACTTATCGTTGGCCGAGGCCGCAGAGTCGCTGCGGTCTACACGTGGTTACTGCTTCAGCCTTGTGACCGCAGCTGTTTCGTGGAGGTCGACTCGAGCGTCGTCTATCTCTAGTTCCAGCTGTGAGGCAGAGGTGTACGCTGTGTCCATGGCCGCCCAGGAGCTTCGCTGGCTGCCTTTCCTCCTCACCGACCTCGGTGAGCGGCTCTTGTTCGCCGACAATATGTCTGCTATCCTGTTGTGGGAGGAGCCACGACTGATTGGGATTGCGAATCACATCCATCTTCGTTACTTCCTTCTACGAGAGTTGCAGCAGCGTGGCCAGGCACTCGTGCGACGTGTGGTCTCTGAGGCCAACACTGCAGATTGTTGGTGTAAGGGCCTAATAAACTCAAGCTATTAAGACTTTATCAAACTTAAAACCTCTCCTCGGGGTCACCTCCAAGGGTCCTTGGGTGCCTGGTACAAGACCAGCCCCTATCCTAGGGTCCGAGTTTGTAGAGAGAGGGATCAAGAGGGACTTAGTCAAAACAGCAAGAGTACCTTGAACATTGCGCAGCGTATCGTGCAGACCGTTGATCGGATTAAGCTGAGAATTTACTATATCGAAGCTCGCTCCAAGAGCTTCAAAATGAACCAAGTTGCCTCGCGAAAAGTTCTGCCATTACGAAGTTATGGCTCGGACAGCGTTTGCCTAGTGTTGGAGTGCTAGCGTACTAGCGTTGACTCGGATAGCATTACGCCGTTGAACCGCGTAGAAACGAAATTCCAGGAAGGGAGGAATTCGCTTGAATCAAATTGACTATATTCAGGTACAAACAGAGAAGGAATAAATAGTTTTAGCTAGCAAGGACCTTGAGAATCATCTGGGAACAGCCAGGGATGATCCCAAATAATTCCAAGCAACAGAACCAACCTGGCTGGACAAAACAGCAGGTGGTAGGTTGGAAAACAACCTCTGGTTCTGTTTTTCCAACCTGGGAAAACAACAACCAGATTCAGGTTATAGAAACAGAACCTGTTATGTCTTTGCCCAACCAGCCAAATGCTGGTTCCGCTGGTTTCCCCTGGCCTTGTAGCATGCAGATACAGACAAACAACATCCAACCTTCACCTAAATTGTACCCCTATAGTGCTTGCCCTGCTACACTATAGTTAACCAAACAAAACAGTACAATTACAAGTTGGATAGAACTGATTCTGCGCAATCAATTCGACCGAAGTGCAAAGCTTCCATCTTGGGTTCTTTGCGAGCTCGTCCTTTCTGCTTGCACTGTTCATAGTGCGTACAATGTTGTGCCGAAGCGCATATTGTGCGAGTACCTGCAAATGCTTCAAGCGGAAATTGCGAAAGCAAACAAATACACGAACAAACCATTCACACGCAAATGCATTCGCACACGCATACTCGTACAAACAAACGGCAGGATGTCGTGCAATGTGAATTTGCACCACATTCCCCCTCAGCCTGCCGGCTGCATTTCCATCATTCCATGCTAGTTGTACGTGCATCCCGAGGTAGTATTTTACCTCCCCAAGGTTCTTGCACTTGAAGTTCTCCATTAGCTGCTGCTGCCCTTTCTGGATCTCCTTCATGCTGCTGCTGAAGAGAAGAATGTCGTCCACGTAGATCAGAAACAACACCAGCTTCTCCCCCTTGTCTGATTATCATAGCTGATGCATGTTTGTAGGCTATAGTGGGGTAGCACATATGGGGTACAGCTTTCTAGGGTTGTATTTGTACCCAACTCTGACTTAGTCATTTCATTCCTGTTCATTGATTCTCACATGGTATAGAGCGGGTCCTTCCTAAGGACTGTTTTTTTTTAAGGGCCCACCCACGATTTTTTTCCTGCCTGGAGCGCGCCCTATTCTCCCCGAGGCGCGTTCCCCCCTAGTGCTTGTCGCGCTGCCCTTGTGGCGCCCCGCGAGTCGCGCGCGCGACTCCTTTTTTTTCGCGCGCGCGGCCTGGGCCCCACGTCGCGCTGGCCTTACGGCCGCGCCGCGCCGCCCTCTCGGCTCTGCTGCGCCCCGCCGCCCTCACGCCGGCCGCGCGGCCTCTTCGTCGCTGCAGCGGGCCCCGTCACCTGACGGCCCCGCCGTCCTCTTTTGACGGCCCCGCCGTCCCCTACTCTCGGCCCCGCCGTTGCAACCTGACGGCCCCGCCACTGCACCTGTCGGCCCCCGCCGCTGCACCCTGACGGCCCCGCCGTCCCCTGTCCCGGCCCCGCCGCTGCACCCTGCCGGCCCCGCCGCTGCACCTCTGTCGGCCCCGCCGCTGCACCCTGACGGCCCCGCCGTCCCCTGTCACGGCCCCGCCGTCCCCTGTCACGGCCCCGCCGCTGCACCCTGACGGCCCCGCCACTGCACCTCAGTCGGCCCCGCCGCTGCACCCTGACGGCCCCGCCGTCCCCTGTCCCGGCCCCGCCGCTGCACCCTGACGGCCCCGCCGTCCCCTGTCACGGCCCCGCCGTTGCACCCTGACGGCCCCGCCACTGCACCTGTCGGCCCCGCCGCTGCACCCTTACGGCCCCGCCGTCCTCTGTCCCGGCCCCGTCCTGCACCCGAGCCGCCCTGCTGCCGAGCCGCCCGGGAGCCTAGCTGCCCTGCACCCGAGCCGCTCTGCCGCCGAGCCGCCCGGGAGCCGAGCCGCCCTGCACCCGAGCCGCCCTGCCGCCGAGCCGCCCTGCACCCGAGCCGCCCTGCCGCCGAGCCGCCCGGGAGCCGAGCCGCCCAGCAGCCGAGTCGCTAAGTCGCCGAGCCGCCCTTCTGCAGAGTTGCCCGGCCTGCCCTGCCTGGTGAGCACAGTCGCACTGTCACTGCGTGCTCTTCCCCTACTGCTTGCACTGCTTCGCTCTCGTCGTCATGGCTACCCCTAGTGTCCTATCTTTTGACGCTGAGGGTCGAGCCATTGACTTTGAGGTCTGGGTAGACGACCTGCAGTTGTTTTTACAGTGCGATAGGGCAGACGGCCTCTCTCTCTTTGACCTTACCTCTGGCGCCTCTCCTGCTCCTGCTGCTGATGCTGATCCCACTGTGCGCTCTCAGTGCGCCACCCGCGATGCTGCTGCACGTCTTGCTGTGCGTCGCCACCTCCCTACCTCTGAGCGCGCGCACTTTATTCAGTACAAGAGTGCTCAGACCTTGTACGACGCTGTAGTTGCGCGCTACTCCTCCCCTGCCACTGCTGCACTGAGCCGTCTCATGCTTCCCTACCTCTTTCCTGACCTCTCTGCCTTTCCCACTGTCGCTGACCTCATTACACACCTCCGCACTAGTGACACTCGCTACCGCGCCGCCCTTCCTGCTGAGTTCTGCGCTAAGAACCCCCCCCCCATGTACATCGCTCTCTACTACGTAGTCGCGCGCCTCCCTGACTCCCTTAGCGTCGTCAGGGACCACTTTCTCGCAGTCTGTCCCACCACCCTCACCGTCGACCTCCTCGAGAAGGCCCTCCTCGCAGCGGAGAAGAGCATAGTCGCTGTAGGTGCTTCTCGTGGTGACCCTCGCACCCCCATCTTTGAGGGGTGCTCTCCTTCCCCCTTGCTGCCCTCTGTTGCCTCTGCTGCTGCTGCCGACCTGCTTGGTCTTGAGTCGGTCGGCGCGGCGTCTGCCCCTAGTGGGAGACGTCGCTCCAGCAAGGGCAAGGGGGGCAAGGGCGCGGGTGGAGCTGGAGGGGGCGGTGGTGGTGGCGGCGGTGGCGGCGGAGAGAGTGGGGGTGGCGGCGGGACTAGTGGCCGGGGTGGTGGTGGTGGTGGCAGCAGTGGCGGAGACGGTGGTGGTGGTGCCAGCGGTGGTGGTGGAGGCAGCGGCGGAGGTGGAGGCGGCGGAGGTGGAGGCGGTGGAGGCGGCAGCGGAGGTGGCGGTGGTGGTGGAGGAGGTGGAGCTGGTCGGAGTGGTACCCAGCAGCGTAGCGGCGGTGGTGGTGGCCAGCGCTCGCAGCGGCATCAGCAGCAGCGCTCGCGGGACATCCCTCCGCCTCAGCAGCTTCGTGAGTGGTACGTTGGGCGTCAGAGGGGTGGGGGTACTGGTCCCTGCACCTACGTTCTTCGTTCTGGCGACCGCGCGGGTGAGCAGTGTGGGGGTGCCCACGCCGCCCAGCGCTGCTTTGGCCGCCTGACGGACGCTTGGCGTCAGCAGTTCCCTGGGGCTAGTGAGATCCCTCGCTGGGATGAGCTTCTTAGGGCTGGTGTAGCGATCTTTGATCTTGATTTTGATGCTATCCTTGCTGCTATGTATGCTGTGACTTATAGTGAGGAGAATGAGGGTTACCGGTGTTTCCAGCCCGACCCGGGCATTGGTACTGCTGCTCTAGGTGCTTGTGAGGCTGCTGCTTTAGGTGCCAGTGCGTCTGCGCTCTCAGGTACTGGGGAGACTGCGCTCTCAAGTACTGCGTCGTCCTCGTCCTCCCTCACTTTCACACTTGACTCCGGGGCTTCTCGCTCCTTCTTTCGAGACCGCACTACCCTTACGCCGCTCGGCCGGCCGGTTGCAGTCTCCCTTGCTGACCCCTCTGGGGGTCCTGTCCTGTCTCACTTCTCCACTGTCCTCCCGTGTCCGGCTGCCCCTTCGGGCACCCTGTCTGGTCTGTACCTTCCCTCGTTCTCTACGAACTTGGTGAGTGGCGCGGACCTGCAGGATGTGGGGGTTCACCAGTTCACTCCTGCGAGTCAGCGGGTGACCCACTGCACGGAGGCACGCACAGGCCGGCACCTGGCCACGTTCTCGCGTCGGCCGGGGTCGAGTCTCTACACCCTGACCGTTGAGTCTCCTCCTGTCCCTGCGTCTGGTCAGGTGGCTGCGTCAGGTCAGGTGCTTGCTGCTGTGTCCCGGTCAGGTCCTGAGTCTGCCCCCTGTTCTTGTCGCCTCCTGTCTCACGAGACTCTCCTGTGGCACCACCGTCTTGGCCACCCCTCCTTGCCCCGTCTTCGGAGCATGGCTTCCCGTGTCCTTGTCTCTGGTCTTCCCCAGTCTCTCCCTCCTCTCCCCTCCGGGCCAGGACCTTCCTGTGTCCCCTGTGTCGAGGGTCGCCTCCGGGCTACTCCTCACTCCTCCCACTTCCCCCCGACAGAGGCTCCCCTGCAGACGCTTCACATGGATGTGTGGGGCCCAGCCCCCGTCCGTGGGCAGGGTCACGAGCGCTACTTCCTGTTGGTGGTTGACAACTACTCGCGTTACACCACAGTCCTCCCCTTGCGCAGCAAGGGTGCGGTCACTGAGGTGCTGATCGACTGGATCCGCGAGGTTCGTCTCCAGCTCAGGAAGAGCTTCGGCTCGGACTTTCCTGTTCTGCGTCTGCACTCGGACAGAGGCGGAGAGTTCTCTTCTCGCCTTCTGCGAGACTACTGTCGTGCACGGGGGATCCGCCAGACCTTCACGCTTCCGGACTCACCACAGCAAAATGGGATTGCTGAGCGCCGCATTGGCATGGTCATGGATGTCACTCGTACGTCCATGATGCATGCGGCTGCCCCCCATTTTCTGTGGCCGTTTGCGGTGAGGTACGCGGCGCATCAGCTCAACCTTCACCCCCGGGTCTCTCGGCCTGCGATGTCCCCAGCCTTGCTGTGGACGGGGAAGGTTGGCGATGCGTCTGTGTTCCGTGTCTGGGGATCTCGGGCGTTTGTCCGCGACTTGTCTGCGGACAAGCTGTCCCCTCGTGCTGCTCCCTGTGTCTTCCTTGGCTTCCCCACTGACGCCCCAGGGTGGCAGTTTTACCACCCCTCCTCTCGTCGTGTTCTGTCCTCCCAGGACGTCACGTTCGACGAGTCAGTCCCCTTCTACCGTCTCTTCCCCTACCGCACTCCTTCCCTCCCCCCTCCCCCGGATTTCCTTGTGCCGGTTCCCCCCCCGGTAGACCCCCTCCCCCCTCAGGTTCCTGCCCCCTCAGGTGTGTCCCAGGTAGACGCCGTTGACCCGGTTGAGGTTACTGGTGACTCTGGTGCTGCTGCGGGTGCTGAGCCTGGGGGTGCTGACTCTGGGGGTGCTGTGCGGGGGGGTGCTGAGCCTGGGGGTGCTATTGCTGGGGGTGCTGGGCCTGAGGGTGCTACTGCGGAGGGTGCGGAGCCTGGGGGTGCTGAGCCGGGGGGTGCTGTGCCTGGAGGTGCTGGGTCTGGGGGTGCTGGGTCGGGAGCTGCTGAGCCTGGGGGTGCTGAGCTGGGTGCTGCTGAGCCTGGGGGTGCTGCGTCTGGAGCTGCTGAGCCTGGGGTTTCTCCTGCTGCTGCGTCTCGCCGGGAGCCCCTCTCTCCACAGGAGCTGCGCGAGTGGTTCGCTCGCCGGTGGAGGCGTGCTGCTGAGTCTGGAGGTGCTGCTGGAGCTGGAGCTGGAGCTTCTTCGACCGTCGAGGGTGCGGGTGCTGCCGGTCCCGGAGCTGCTGGACCTGCGGGTCCTCCTGGAGCTGGAGCTGCTGAGGGCGTTGGTGCTGAGCCTACTGCTGTTGGTCCTGCCGCTAGAGGTGTGGGTGGCGCTGGTGCTGTCGCTGAGGGTGCTGGTGCTGTCCCTGCTGAGTTTGGAGCTGCTGCGCGGCCTCGGCCGTACTTCGTTCCGCTCCTGCAGCAGGTTCTTGGTCTTTCTTCTCCAGTAGAGGGTCCACCGCCTGTCCAGTCGCAGTCCCTGCTGGAGCCTTCCTCTCCACTGCCTGCTCCCTCTCCTTACACTGGTCCTACTGGAGGTCTTGCTGAGCGTCGTGAGCGTGCGTCTCGTCCCGCGTCGCCTGTTCGTGCTGCTCGCGCTAGTGGTCGCAGTTCGCGTCAGCGTCCTCCTCCTGTCCCTGGCACGCACCGGATGTCTTTGCGTCCGTCCACTGCTCCTCTGCGTGCCCCTTTGCCTTCTCCTCCTGCGTCCTCTCTTCCTGCGCTTGCCGACCTTGAGTCGGACTCTCTTCGTGCTGCCAGTCCTACTGTCACGCGTCTGCTTGCTACTGTCGTCACTGACCCCTCTTTTGAGTCCACTGCTGCGTCTGCTCTAGTCTCTGAGCTCGTCGACTTTGCTTCTCGCTGTCGTCTCGACTACGCTGCTAGTCTTGTTGCTGAGTCTGCGTCTGTCTGTCCTCCGTCCGTCGGGGGTGAGTGTGCTCTTGGCACGGACGTCCTAGAGGACAGGCAGGAGGAGTTACAGTGTCTAGCGGCTGCTTCACCTCATCTCGCGTCTGTACTGCTTGCCCCTGAGGGAGACCCGGATGCACTAGACATCCCGACTCCGCGTTCTTACGCGGAGGCCGTAGAGGGTCCCTACTCCTCTCAGTGGCAGGCAGCTATGGATGCAGAGATGGCTTCCAAGAAGTCCACAGGCACCTACGTGGACGCGGTTCCCCCTCCTGGGGCGAACATCGTCAGTGGCATGTGGATCTTCAGGGTGAAGCGGCCGCCGGGCTCTCCACCTGTCTTCAAGGCACGGTACGTTGCTCGTGGCTTCAGTCAGCGGCAGGGAGTTGACTACTTTCAGACCTTCTCTCCCACCCCGAAGATGACTACTCTTCGGGTGCTGCTGCACATAGCCGCTCAGCGCGACTACGAGCTTCACTCTCTCGACTTCAGCACTGCGCTCTTGCAGGGTAGCCTGCACGAGGAGATCTGGCTTCGCCGTCCACCTGGCTTCATTGGGACTTTCCCTCCTGGCACCTAGTGGAGCCTCCGACGGCCAGTCTACGGTCTCCGCCAGGCACCGCGTGAGTGGCACGACACACTGAGGACTACGCTTGCGGCCCTTGGGTTTGCTCCTTCTACTGCTGACCCGTCGCTGTTTCTTCGCACCGACACTTCCCTGCCGCCGTTCTACATCCTCGTGTACGTCGACGACTTGGTCTTTGCCACAGCGGACACTGCTGGACTCGCCTACGTGAAGTCTGAGCTGCTGAAGAGACACACGTGCACAGACCTGGGTGAACTGCGCAGCTACCTTGGCTTGAAGATCACTCGGGACAGAGCACGCCTCACCATTACCTTGACTCAGTCACACATGGTGCAGCAGGTCCTTCAGCGCTTCGGCTTCACGTACTCCTCGCCTCAGGCCACTCCTCTGCCTACTCGCCACTCACTCTCAGCTCTGCCTTCGGATGAGTCCGTAGAGTCGAGTGGTCCGTATGCAGAGCTTGTTGGCTGCCTCATGTACCTGATGACCTGCACACGACCTGACCTTGCATACCCTCTGAGCATTCTTGCACGCTATGTTGCTCCTCGGAGACACAGACCAGAGCACATGGCTGCAGCGAAGAGGGTATTGCGCTACCTGTGCAGTACGTCGGGCATGGGGCTAGTGCTTGGAGGGCGGAGTCCAGTGGTCCTTACCGGCCACGCGGACGCTTCTTGGGCTGACGACCAGGCTATGCAGCGGTCGTCACAGGGTTACACCTTCAGCCTTGGTTCCGGCTCTGTCTCGTGGCGGTCTACTCGCTCGTCTTCGGTTCTCGGCTCCAGTTGTGAGGCTGAGATCTACGCCGTGGCCATGGCTGCACAGGAGCTTCGCTGGCTCACCTACCTGCTGACTGACCTTGGAGAGCCGCCTCGTTCTCCTCCAGTGCTGTACGTAGACAACAAGGCCATGCTGGCCTTGTGTCGAGAGCAGCGCTTGGAGCACAGAACGAAGCACATTGCTCTCCGCTACTTCCTTGCTCGTGAGCTGCAGCAGCGTGGTCAGTTGCGACTTGCGTACGTGGCCTCTGAGGCCAACACTGCTGATGTGTTCACCAAGGCACTCGCGCCTTGTGACCATCAGCGCTTTTGCACCCAGCTGGGTCTTGTGCCTGTCTTGCCTCACTTCCTCTCCTCTTGACTTCACTTGTACTGTGACATATATATATACCTGCTCTTGCTTGTCTAGTTTTATATATATGTCTGTACTCCTGCATGTGAACTGGCCTCTGGCCCTGCTCTTGTGCTCAGACTGTGTGGTGACTTTGTGATCCACCCTGAGCTTGCTTTGCTTTGCTTTGCTTGACTGGTCTTGTGACC